GTATTCTCGAATATAGTTTTAGTATATTCAGGCATATAATAAATTTGTTATTTCGGATTCGGATGAAGCGCCGAATCAACTGAATTTTTTTGATTTGCAGGTTAGTCCGAATCTGAATGCACATGTCTACAAATCATTACAGGTAACCTGCATTGTAGAATTAGGTTACATTCCTACATTTTTCATGCAGTGAGGCTGCATGCGTTTTAGAAAACTGCACCAATAATGCAGCAATGAAGATTCTTTTTAATGGGTCAGTCCATCCATAACTTTTTCAGTGTTTATACAAGACGTAAAGTAAGGTTTTTGACAAGTACAAGTACTTGTCAAAATGCCCTGTTTTTTTCCACCCTCACCCTGCAGCGCCCTCAGGCGGCCGCTTGCCTTGCCTTGTGCTTGCCACCAAAATGACTGACAGTCCTTCTATTGTGGTGGCTAATGGGACTTGTAGTTTCTCCATTCAGAGAACCTGTCAAAGGGTAGTACCACAAGGGTTCATTATATAAATGCCTGGACTTGTCCTTCAGGCAATGCTGTGGCTGGCACTCTTTGCAGACAGGATCGGGGATGATGACATGTGAACGGCTTTCCCTGTCCAAGGTGCTGAAAGCTCAGACTTCGTCTTCTCAGCAATCTCCGGCCACACTCCGGAACATGTGCGGAGGATCAGATTGTACCGTGTATGCGGAGTGACAGCGGACGGAGATGCTGTAAATAAACCGATTTATCCTTCACACGTCCCGACAGATCTTCTATCCCGATACAGCGAGCGCACCGAGTCTGGGGAGCACGATAGAGACCCGTCCGGCGCACTTCCATCATGTGAACACTAGAGGGCGCCGAAGTCCGCTGAGTTCGGGTTCGGCCAGGCCGGCCGGGAGCCATATGTCAGGGGGAAGTATTCGGAGTATCTGCTGTTGTTGGAGCAGCTGTCATGTACACAGTGCAGACAGACCTCTGTGATACCGGAGCCCTCAACGTGATCATTTAACCCATAGCATGCAAGAAGACTGGCAGCACATAGCATAGGGGTCACATGCATAGCCTGAGTTCTTTTCCTGCAGCAGCCTTTAAAAAGACATGTTTAGGCTGCCAGTATAATGAGTTGTCCTTGTAACCTGTGCCAGGCGGAATAAATAGCCTGAGAGCTGCAAACTTTATATAAACGCTTCCTGAAATAAGGAAATAGCACAATACTGTACTTTATTTACCATGTGCCCCCTCCCCCCTGATATATTCTCAGCGCGCTCAGCAACTATATAAGACAGGAAGCAAATGGGACTTGTGTTTTATTAAGGACACCCTCTGGTGACCCCGTACAGGCCTGCGGGGTCACGGCTGTGTTTTTGTAAGAAGCAACAGGTTTCTGAAAACAGCTATGACGGGCACTACAACCCTGGCTGTCTTATGAAATATAAGACCATCAATGAAATGCATTTCTAGATTTGGACCAGAGGCTTAGAACTTGGTTTTGCAAAATATAAGTCACTAGACTGAAAGTCCAGAGAAGAACTCCAGGTACACATGTTATTAACCCTTGCAGCGGGGCTACCCCCGCACTTCAAGAGTTAACTGCTCATTTGTGTCTTGGTTAATAAAAAAAAAAAATTATACTCACCTGATCCTCCGAGCTGGCTTGCTCTTAGACCGGTCATTCCAACCTATCTCCCCCTCCATTTCAGCAGTCTAAGGTCCCTGAGTCATCACGTTCTATACACAGTGTATAGGATGTGAGGACGCCGAAGGGCATACCATCGCTGCAGCGGAGGGGTAGCGAGGTGGAAGGGACCGGTCTAAGAGCCGGTCCGCTTTGAGGAATGGGTGAGCATAACTTTTTTTTTTAACCTAAAATATGAGCAGTTAGCCTTTGAAGTGCGGGGGTAGCTGCACTGCAAGGGTTAATAAAATTGGTACCCGGAGTTCTCCTCTAAACTCTCAGTCTAGTGATTTAATGTATGCAAAGCCAAGTTCTAAGCCTCTGGTCCAAGTCTAAAAAATGCATTGAAATGATGGTTATATTGTATTCATCCAATCAGTAAGGGTTGTAGGCTACCCCCTGCATGGCAAGGGTTAATAACATATAAAGTTCTCCTTTATAGACTACCCTCACTTGTTTTGGACCATGTTTCATGTTAAACCTTTACTCAGACTGTAACATGAAACATGATCACATCACAAACCCCCTTGCGTGGCTCCCCCCACACAGCAGTGTCATCCATTCACAGATCCGATGACAGTTCTGTGAATGTAGAGACTACAAGACCCATCTGCCACCACCGCAGAGGTACATATAGTTCTTAATCTAAGTGCGGTGACATCATCACACTAATGGAGAGCAAAATCTGTACGAGAAACATTTATTGCAATGACTGGACACATGATCACGTCATAGGGGGTGACAATCAGTGGCAGAGCATAATAATGGGCAGCTATCTGGGCTCCAAAACTCCAGAGGGGCCACAGAAAGTCTGTCCTTCAGGGTTATAGTAGTAAATGGAAGCTGTGCAAGTCTTTACATTTTTTTTTTTCAGGTGATCAGGATCGGAAGCTTTTGTATTCCTCTAAAGAAAAAGTTTCCATCATGATAATCCAACGATCATACGCAATAGGTCTGCAACTCCCCGAACGTGGGAGCGTTGCTTTCATATTATCTGTCCCCATTGCATGCAATTTGCAAAAAGCATTCAGAAGCAAAACACAAATCCCTGACCCCCAGGCTCCGTTCACATCTGTACATTGCGGCAAAATGTGTACAAATGTGTGCTTTTGCATGCGCGGCAGAAACGCTGGTCACTTTGTAAGTCGTGCTGCTGGGCTATTCATTGGTAAAGCAGAACTCCGGGTAAACATTTTCTCAACCCTTTCAGTTGGGCTAACCCGGCACTGCAAGAGTTAAGTGCTCATTTTTGTCTAGGTTCAAAAATAAAAATGTTCTACTCACCCGATCCTCCAAGCCGGCTTGCTTAGCTGCAGAGGTCTGAGATCCCTGAGTCATGTTCTGCACACAGTGTATAGGACGCAGGATGTTGAGAGAGATACCATCGCTGTCACAGCCAGCCGGCAACGCCAAAAATCGGGTGAGTAAAATTTTGTTATTTTTTAACTTCAAAAACGAGCACTTTACTCCTAAAATGTGGGGGTAGCTCTTAGTATACACCAAGATGGCGGCACCCATACCAGTGTGTGGCATCATATGATGTAATGGCCCCGCCTCCAGGATGGGGCCACGCATGTGCAGAAGACGCCAGTGGCCAATATTATTGTGTGCCTGAATATGTTTTTCGTTCTTTCGGATTTGGACGAACCGCAGATTCAACGGAATTTCGTTGATTTGCAGATTCATCTACAGTGTATGTGAGGATGCCGAGGGACATACCATCGCTGCAGCATAGGAGCAGAGAGGCTTCAAGGAGCACTCTGCAGCCGGCTGGCTCTGAGGTTCGGGTGACCATAACGTTTTTTTTAACCTAGACACAAATGAGCAGTTAACCCTTGCAGTGAGTTGAGAGTTGTGCTTAGTGTTCAGCTTCCAGAAAGAAAAAAAAAGCACTAAAATGTTAAGCAGCAAGTTTTAAATATTTTTAGGCTATGCCATGAGAATGAGAAATGTAACAAATATAAAGTAGGTCTTATCCCAATTTAGATTGTAAGCTCTCACGTGCAGGGCACTCCTTACTAGTGGCGGAACTATCGCCATAGCGACCCAGTCGGCCGCTATAGGGCCTGGCGCACAGGGGGGCCCGTCCAGGACTAGGAACAAAGGGGTCCCCCTGATGCCGTTATGTTCTGCCCCGGGCGCCCATAACTCTGGTTACACCACTGCCTGTGATTTCTAGTTACGCCCCTGCTCCTTACCATCTGGTCTTGAATTGTATTGTAACTGTAATGTCCTCCTTATATTGTAAAGCGCTGCGCACACTGTTGGCGCTATAATAATCCTGTATTTTAATAATAATAATGATAATAATTTGGCTGCAAAGGTAGAAATACACTATATTAGATAAAATGCTATTTATAGAATTCCGTACAGATTTTGTATGGGCAATGAGAGAACAAGCAATCTGTGTTACTTTTATTTACAAATAGCAAAGGAGAAGTTTATAAAAATCAGACTCGGATATCTCTGATGTACGATATACATGAACGATATGATGCTAGCAGACGCAGTTCGCTGATGTGACCACTAGGTGGCGTCAAAGCCCCAGCGTTGAACGGCCAGTGGCGCGGGGGGAGTCAAGGGAGTGACTAGCTGGGGAGAATCTTGTAGCCTGACATTCGTCCTAGTGACGAGCTCCCTGCTGTCCCTATTATAATGATTACATGTTCAAGCTCACACCTGCACTGGGTAGTCATTGTCAGGTGCTGAAGCGCTTGTGATTTTCTGGATGACAATTCAATTCTATGGTCTACAGCCTACATACAGAGAAGAGAAGAAGTTTGTAGGATTCGTGGCTGATGCTCTTCTGCAAAGTTTCTCATTGTGGGATATTTCCATTGGAGCTCCTCTGATGTTCATAGGGACTGGATGATGGCAGAAGAGGACACAGCAGCAGTATGTCAGTGAGTTTGGAAGTGATGTGTGCTTACACTGGGTGCTGATCTGAACTTCATTCACTTCTACAAAGCAAGTTGACATGTGGAATATTTACACTGGGGATGCATGATTCATTGTGCTTAGAAGAAAGTGCAGCCCTTGCTCTTGGTTTAGCTGGTTGGTTGTAGATTAGGGGAATTGGGTTAAAACTGGAATTAAAGGAGCTGGACTTCTGGGCTTGTACAGTCATGACTACCTGAGTTTATGGCTTTATTGCCATCCACGCTTTCTTTCATGTCTTGACATTCTCAGGCTTGGAGGGGAACATGGAATTCCATCAAAAACTTGGATGACCAATTGTTGGTGTCTGATGAGAGAGAGACCTCCCAGCCCTGTAAGTGCTGAAGGCAGCTGCTGCCTGGCTCATTCATTGGGAGTGGTTACCTTGAGAGCAGTCCTGAGCTTGCTGAACAGAGATCACACATCCTAAAACCTCAGAGGGGTTCCAGTGACACCAGCTTCAGACAGGTAATACCTCCTCTTCTTTTACCTCCAACCTTCTACCCATCAGCCCCCTTTATTACCTTTCTGGGTGAGGTAGATCAACCTGCCGGGGGTGGACTCCCCCCTCCCCAAATTGCAACTCCCCCAAAAAGCAACATGAGCTGGGTTCTTAATTGGACTAAGCATCGGGGGTAGAGCAGAACAGTTTGTGGACTTTAGCTCATCTAGGCAGCTTCGGATCTATAGATTGACGGGACAAGCTGTACTTCTATGTGAGTATGAAATATTCCTGTGTGTATTGTAGTACAGCATGGATTCCTTTCATCCAGTTCGTCAATCAGTCAGTATAGCACCAGAGCAGTCCACGCTATCCCTGCACAGTTGCCAACTATTCTTGAATTCCAAGAAAAGTCCTTGCTTCGGAATATTTGTTCCTGGAACTGGCATGGTCTTTAGCCTTAGTGATGAAATCCTTTGTGTTTTTCTAAAGAAATGTAACTGTAAATTAATTTGTTTTCTGTTTTAATGAAACATTTATTTAGGTGTGATAAGCCAATTGCAATCAAGTAATAATGCTACAATAAACAGGTCATCAAAGGTAGATAGTGGTTCTTGGCCCTCTGATGTTGTATTGTGGCCGGCAGGCATAGATGAATTAGCTTAGCAACAAAGTGTTACCGGAAATTATTCGAAAATGATGGTGACTAAGTATATTAATCAACCCCCTTTATTCAAACAAACTATACCCCCTGGTTGTATTAAGTCCGGAGTTTAGTTCTGAGAGTAAACCTCATTTTTCTACCTGCCAAGCTTTCCCTAATTATCCTTTTTCTCTGTCTGTGGTTAGGTGAGGAATTAAGACCCGTATCTACAAATTGAAAGCCCTGTTGTCAGAGTCTTTAATCTACTGCGCTTGTGGTGAGGGCTAGCCTGTAGAATTTAAATTTATAGCATTTTATTTGGAATACATCCCAGAATGATTTTTCACAGGGTAAAATATGACTGGAGGACCTCAGCATCTATTGCAGAAGTTGATTCGGTAACCTTACAAGGAGAATTCAAAGCCATTATCCCTTAGCTTTTTGCTCCCTTCGCAATAATGACATTGAAATTGGATTACATGGGATGGGTGCGTAAGGCGAACACAAGAAAGGGTTGATGTACAACTCTACAGCTGGATAGACCTCACCCTGACCATGTGATTGTGTAACCGAATTATCCCAACTACTGCCTTCTACACTGGAAGTGTGTTTCACTTTAAATGCATTAATGTAATTGAACTGATGATTTTATCCAATTTGAAAGTATGATTCACTGTGTTAATGCCTGTCATTGCTGCTACTGTTGTGTTTTTATTTATGGTGATGATGATGACGATTATTATTAATAGAATTTATTTAGGGACGATAGCTAGATTACACCTAAAAGATAACTATTTATGAAGCTTTTTTCCATTTTAGTTAGTGAAAGTGCTTATTCCTTGGTGCGTAGATTTGAACTAATAGCAATAATAAATACTTTTGACGCTTGATTGTTTGTATAGGAATCAGTAGATGTCTCAGTTTTTTTTTTGCAAGGGCTTCAGAAACACTTAGTGAGAATGGGCAGAACATGGTATCAAACTGTTTTCAGAAGAATGTCAATTGATTAATGCCTTTCCTTTATTGTAAGATGAAGTATGGTCAATATAATATCAAGTTTCTGCTTCTAGGTCAGAAATTCTAAGTGGCAGAATATTGAGTGAGATCGAAGCACTTTACAGTTCAGCGCTGGTCCAAAGATTTTGAATGTTGTCCCCCAAGTTTCCAGCATAGTCTGTATGATTATAGGTTAAAACGGCAACAAAATGGGAATTGTTGTGGCATAGAGGCTTCTTTTTCCCAAAGGCTGGTACATTGGCTTGTTTTATATGAAGTGAGAAAATGTACCTATGACATTTCTTAGGCTAATTAAAAAAGGAATGACTATCAGAAGGTTTCTGAAAGCCCTTAAATGACACATCCAAGAAGTTGTAATTTTACTGAAGGAGTCATGATATGCAATGTGTGTTCCTTTAATCCCTTTAAAAACAGGTAAAATGTATAATGAAATCGAATTTTAGAGCTTTGATTCTGCTGTAAATAATAATTTGCTTTAATTTGGGGTGTAGGATGAAGGCTACAGTCACAAAATACAGGATATTAATTTTGTATTGAGATTCAAATATACAGCTTGAGAATTTTTGATTTTGTTCAGTGATTTGGAACAATCGGCCGGAAGCGAGCATTTTTATATATAAACCAAAAATATCCCCAGGCCAGCCAGGAACAGGCGGATGGAATGTTAATCGCTATCTCCTTTCTGCTTTTTTCTTATGCTTGCTTTCAAAGGCCCCGGTGCTTTATTTGGGATTAATCTCCCCTCAGGACAGCGTTTTCTCTGGCTAGTAAGAAGCTGCTTAGAGTAAAGGTCCTCAGGGCATAAGGAAACTATGTACTGACCGGACCGTGGTCCTTATTTCTGGTGCACATAATATATAAAGTAGTATGACCTGTTAGGATGGTAGCTCTGGGATGATAAAGAGTTGATGAAGAGTGACAAATGCATCATAAAAAAAATATGATAGTGGATGTGCAGTTTAAAAAATAATCTAAAAGCTAAAACAAACACACACAGTATAAATATATATATGTGCTAAATCGTATAGAATGGGGTTCAAATGCCTCAAGTTGGCTATATATTGTTAAGCAGGGCAGATACTACTATTAACTCTCCATTGTGTTTCTACTTTTTTTACTCTTGTCATTCAGGCATACATGCCAACACTCAAAGAGGAATTTTATATGACCTTATGCAAACACGTCAGGAGACGTGTCATTCCATCACGCAGCACTTATGTCAGATATGTCCGGTAAAGTGCTGCCGATGCAAAAAGAGGCCAGAGACCCCCGCATACAGTTACAATAACATTTTATTGCATTTTCATGTAATAGATAATAAAAGCCAAACGCAATCAAAACTGATTGGTTTGATTTTTGGTGAAGACAGGGACCCACTGCTGCCAGGGAATCAGGTGGGGAGAACTTTTTTGCTGGAGTTGCTCTGATCCTCCTGCATGGCTGCTGTGATGCTAAGTGGAGGAGTCAGACATCCGCTACTGGATTTTCAGTAGTGAAGTGTTAAGTGTTAATAAATGGAAGATCAAGGTGTTCAGGAAAAACTCCAGGCAAAAATGTTCTTAACCCTTGCAGTGGGGCAACCCCCGCACTGCAAGGGTTAAGTGCTTATTTTGGTCTAGGTGCCAAAATAACAAAGTTATACTCTCCCGAACCATGCAGCCGGCTGGCTGTTAAATTGCTCCCTCCAGCCTCTTTTTCCCTCTGCTCCAGCAATGCAATAGCTCTCGTCATCCTCACGTCCTATACAGGACCTTAGACTGCTGGAGCGGGGGGGGATGGGGGGGGGGGAGAGGCTGGAATGAACGTTCTAAGAGCCAGTCTGCTCTGTGGATCAGGTGAGTATAACCAAAATTAGCCCCTAACCCTTGCAACCTCACTGGAAGGGTTAAGAAAATTTTTGCGCAGAGTTCTTCTAAAAGCATGACATTTTTGTCAAAATGTCTTCAGGGGAGGGGCATTGGGACAGCTCATCCCCAGGGCCTCTAAGTATAATAAGACTGAACCTAACAGTGTCCAGGAAGTAGAAAACTCATGGAAGCAGCAGCTCAATATTGCAGCGTTTGCGTGTGTGTGTTACTATGGTAGCAATCACAAGGGTTTCACCGGCACACACTTAGAAATTGAAATATCAATATTTCATTGATATATTTATTTAGTGAAAAATGTCACATCATGTCATCGTCATGCTAACGTTTCGGGACCTCACAGGGACCCTTCAGCAGAGCGACACTGTGTCGCTCTGCTGAAGGGTCCCTGTGAGGTCCTGAAACGCTTGAACAATATGACATTTTTCACGAAATAAATATATCAATTAAATATTGATATTTGAATTTCTAAGTGTGTGCCGGTGAAATCCTTGTCATTACTTCTAGTGTTTGCACGGCGCCATCCGTACGGTCACCTTGAGCACCACAGATACTTTTATACTGTAAGACCGTAGGAGTGCGAATGGTACTTGGAACCAACTATGGTAGGAACAACTTGGGCTTAAAGCCAGTTCACACCATAAGCATTGCGCTAAATGCACGATACCGCACATCTCACCTAGCATGTGCTACCGTGCAATAGGTGTATTGAAATGCCATTCATTTGAATGGCACCCAAACACACCTCTCGATGGATGTGCGTTGCAACAGTACCATGCACTGTGTTGCGATAGGAAAAAGTAGTGTATGTGTGTTAATAGTTACATATCATGATCATTGTATTTGTTAAAAATCCTGCACATTATTAAATGCAGCTAGTTTACTTGAAATTGACTTGAAATCAGCCATTTGACATGCCCTGTACAGCAGCACTCAGACTGGAAGAGGGAGAGGCAATGCTAGGAGCCAATCAACTGTGCTGCATACATGTGCTGTAAAGGAACACGATGACAGGAGAAGGGAGCAGAGATGTGACCTTATCAGTGTGCTGGTGATCTTACTCTGTCCAGGTGAAGGCTGGTGTCAGGAAAGTGACCAAGCTGTAGTTTATTACTGCAGCAGAGAAAACTATGTGTAAATCCCAGGACTGGTTGGGCAGAAAAACTATTCTTTTTGCAGGTAAAACAGCTCCCACATATGCATTTATTCTGTGTATTTAGCTGTACAGATTAACATTTGGCCTGAACTCAAAAAGAGACTTTGCTGTGTTATAGGAAACATCTAGAAATGTTAATTGTGCCTCACCAGTACCTTGAAATATTTCCCTTTTGTCTCGAATTCCTCCTGAAATATAGCAGTGCATTCCCTGGTATGTTAAGGCACTCAGGGACTCCTGTGCCCTGAGCCTCATAGCTGTATATCTGCAATATGAGATCTAAGGCACTGCAGAATAACAGTCAGAGGCAGCTGCGAGATTTGCAGTAAGATTTGGGCTGCTCAT